GTAAGCAAAGGAAACTGGAAAAAACCAGAAGTGATTGAAGTGGGAGCAGTGTTCTGATTATTGAGAGGTGGGAGGAGGTAAACCCTGGTTGAAAATTATGAAAAGAGGAGCTTAGATAGGGAAGGGAGGGGAGAATTAGGACCTGTACATTTGCCCTTGTCCTCTCTCAGGGAATATTTGGTCTAGGCATTTTAGAAAGATCTTTATATAGGTTCTGAGCAAGGTACTTTCTCTTTTATTTTATTTAATTTTATTTTGAGACTAAGTCTCACTATGTTACCTTTGGTAGAGTGCTGTGGCGTTATAGCTCACAGCAACCTCAAAGTCTTGGCCTTAAGTCATTTTCTTGCCTCAGCCTCCCAAGTAGCTGGGACTACAGGCACCTGCCACAATGCACGGCTATTTTTTGTTGTTGTTGTTGTTATAGTTGTCATTGTTGTTTAGCAGGCCCAGGCCAGGTTCAAACCTGCCAGCCCCAGTGTATGTGGCTGGTGCCCTAACCACTGAGCTATGGGTACTGAACCAAAGTATTTTTCTCTTGAGCGGGATATATTTCCTGGGATTCTGGAGTCCCCTAAAGGTAGTGAATAAGTCACTGATACTGGAATTCTGTGCCCTGTTTTCCTTTTCTTTTCTGAGATCTTGCACTAGCATAGATAAGGTGATTTATAGCCATCCCTATCTCGCTAGCATCCATTCTAAACCAAAAAAATAAAAAAGAACATGGATATATGAGAACTTTGGCCTCAAATCATGAACAGAACCTATAAAGGAGTGCCAGTATGTTTGATTAAGTTAGCCAGAGCAGATGGCCGCAAGAAACAACTATTGGTTTAGTATATATAAACAAATGGCAGCTCAAAATGTCATTTTTTCTGGGTGAGTTCTATTTTATTCATTGGTACTCGTTATTAGTGGTTAGATCATAACTCAGCATCCATGGGGTGAGGTTGATCCTTACCTGGGCCCTCACCCAAAGTCTTAGAAATGACCCTGAATGGTGATTAGGTAGGTTGTATAGTTCTTGGAAAAAAGAATTCCCTGCCTACTCCTTCCAATTTGATCCTGCTATTGACCAGCAGGTGTACCTACGTGATGGAGGAAAGGAGACCCCAGTGATATTATCATCTTGACATTAGCTATTTCAGAATAAAGGAGAAACTATCTTGTTTATACACATTTCCAGGACTAATAAAAATGTATTCTCAAAGAAATAATTGTATATAAAACTGTACAGTAGCAGCTGTATTCAATCATTTGAAACCCAGGAACCAGGAAAGAAACTCTTCCAGGGCCAGTCATCGCTGTGCTTCTGTGTACACAGCCTTGGTTACCTTAAACAAATGGCAGCAATAATTCTTTCTGTACCTGTTTTCACCATTAGTCTCTTGGCTTTATTGACTTCCTCCTCTTTTTTAGATTTCCTATGTACCAGCTAGGGTAGGACGGAGGAAAAAACCTTACATTCAAATTGCTTCCAAGAAGAAAAACCAAATGAGGTCACGTTGCATGAAAGAGCAATAGAAACAGTTTTTCCATAGCCTGAATTTTCAGGCATCGATACCCTTCAATTATTCTTTAGACTTGAAATCTATCATAATTATATTCTAAGTCAGAAAGATTGACTTGGTTGATAAACTTTAATTCTATGATAGCTGATTATCTATCTTCCTTTAATATTTCTTATTCTAAAATTACATTCTTCTTTTTTTTTTTTTTTTTGAGACGGAGCCT